ACGAAACGTGTGAGGGGTGCGCCGAATTGGAGTGGAACTGCATGCGGAGCCTGCCACTGGGGCCTTCGGCGGAGCACCCTATGGGGCCACGAAACGTGTGAGGGGTGCGCCGAAATGGGGGTGGAACTGCATGCGGACCCTGCCACTGGGGCCTTCGGCGGAGCACCCTATAGGGGCCACGAAACGTGTGAGGGGTGCGCCGAAATGGAGGTGGACCTGCATGCGGATCCTGCCACTGGGGCCTTCGGTGGAGCTCCCTATGGGGGCCACGAAACGTGTGAGAGGTGCGCCGAAATGGGGGTGGAACTGCATGCGGACCCTGCCACTGGGGCCTTCGGCGGAGCACTCGATGGGGGCCACGAAACGTGTGAGAGGTGCGCCGAAATGGAGGTGGAACTGCATGCGGACCCTGCCACTGGGGCCTTCGGCGGAGCACCCTATGGTAGCCACGAAACGTGTGAGGGGTGCGCCGAAATGAAGGTGGAACTGCATGCGGACCCTGCCACTGGGGCCTTCGGCGGAGCACCCTATGGGGCCACGAAGCGCTGTACTCGGTGGGTGAAACGCAGGGAGGAGGGAGAGGAGCAGGAGGGAGAGGAGGAAGGAGGAGGCGGGAACGCGGGGCACCGTCTCTTCAAAACGAGGACCCAACACCACAGGATGGTTGGGAAAAAGTGCGAATAGTTTCCCGGACCCGGCTCTGGTAGGAGACCGAGTTCAGGCATCTAGATATTTTAGACTAGCTTATCTGCAGCTAGAGATAAGTCACGAAACTCATCAGAGAGGAGCTCCTCGGCTGCTTCGTCTGGACAGAGGTTATCAGGTCGGCCAGCAGGAGCCACGAGGCGCGCCGGGCTCGCCGGCCCGAGATGGACCTTTTTGCGCCTGGCGGATAATGGCCACCACGGGGAGCCGCACCTCGCTCAGCCCAAGTGGTGATGCAGAACAATCAGGAGGGGGAAAGAAACACACAGACACAATTAATCCTCGATTCCCTAGAGAATATGGGAAGATCTGGGAAGTGGGGGGGAAGACGAAAACCCCCAAAATGTACGAAAATGTAGGGGAATCTTTTGATTTGTGTGTATCTATCTGTGTGTCCTGGGGCCCCTTCAAAGTGGTGATGCAGAACAACCAGGATGTGCTCGACTTGCGCAACGCAGTCCAAGGGAGCCCGACCCGTTGTTGTGAGCTCTCGGGCCGAGTCGCGCCCATGGGCCGCGTCGCCCGGCAGCGCCAGACGCAGCGGCAGAGCCAGCTCCACGGTGCCCCGAAGGAGCAGGGTAGCAGGTTGGAAGCGGTGCGCCGGGAGCTCTCTGTCAAGCCGAACGAGGCCTCGATGGACACCGATGCTGAGAGCCCCGCTCTCGTGGGTCATCGTGCTAGTCTTGGGAAGCAGTGTGCTGAGCTCGCGGCCGCCCAGCGCCAGGCTCAGGACGATGTCTGCGAGCGGCGGTCGTCGCCCACGCCACCGTCTTCTCCTTCCTCCCGCTCTGTTCGCTGGCGCACTGGAGGTGGCCATGCGTCTGGGTAGCGCAGCCAACGTGAGGTCTGCCAGCTGGTGCCGCTCGGCTGTCCTCGCCCTTTGCTTGCTGCTGATCTACGCGCAGTTGGCGCGCGGCATGCGAGGCCGTCTCTGCCCCGCTTCAGGAGCGAGCGAGCATCATCGTGAGGGCCTCCGATTTGAGCAGAAGAATGACGCTCCTTTTCGACCCCCCCTCGCTGCCACCCACTTCCTGAACATTTTGGCCGTGCGGATGGGGCCTGGGCCATTCCTGACCCCATGCGCCCTGCCACGCCGCTCACGCTTCGCTTATGCCGAGATGTTGACCTGAGTGCTCGCCAGCTGTCATTGTCACTCGGTCGAGTTCGCGCTGACCTGATTGACCTTCTTGCCCCCAAAGGTTTCGAAAAAGGGGGCGCGGAACTTGGTGGTTCAGTTCTTATTTCGAGGCGCGCCCGCGACCCTGTCCAGGCTGCGACGGGCCAGCGCCTTGGAGGACGGCGCGGTTCAGTGCGCTTGCCAGCGCGATGTTTTCGCTGAGTTTGGACTTGGGGACCAGATGGCTCTGATCCAGAGCGAGGCGGCGGTGCAGCTGCGCCGCCCCTTTCAGCGCTGAGGCTGACTGGGCCCCCTGGGTTTCCCGGGGGTTGCCCCCTGCTGCGCAGGACTCTGGGCTCTCCGGTCCCCTCCGGGGCTGCCTGCCGTGCCCCCCCTCTCTTTCCCAGTCCCTCTGCGCTCCTCTCTCTTCTCTGTCTCTCTGCACGAAGAACACGGTTGCACCGTTGAGTTCAGTCACGTGTACTTCGTGGCGCACTTCTGCGAGATGCCGCAATTACCTTACCTTACGCAGCACGCGCGATATCACTGCAGCACAGGAGACGCACGGACATGAAGGTGGCATTGTTGAGCTCAAGCATGGGCTTGATAGCCATTCTGTGGGGTGCTCTTTTTTCGGCGGCCCCACTCGCGAGGGCGGGGTCATCGCTGCTTTTTTCGGCGATGCTTTTTTCGGCCCCAGAACACCGCGCCCTGATCGTCGGGGGGTTC